TATCCATCAATATTAATTATATTATTAATCTTATAAAAAAATATTATTCAATACATTTAATCATCAAAAAATATAACAATTTTACATAAAGCCATGATAAAAAAATGTTTAATTAATTTTCTTTTGTGAAACTATTAATTAGTTACAATATGCAAACTTGATCATCTAAAACGTCATAAAATCCATATTTGATTATACAAATTTAAATTCAAAATCTATTTCTATTATTACTATATTCTATTATTTTTTTATTTATCATTGAAGTGAATTAATAAATATATCATATTATTAAAGATTTTTTTAAAATATATTATAAAAAATTAAATTTTTTAATTTTTCAATATATCATTTTTTATTATTTCACAATTTTTAACTAATTTATTGATTAATTTTTATTTAACAATTGTCGGCCGGAACCCAGATTATTTATGGGTTTCTGATGAAATTAACCCTACATAATAAATAATTTATAATTTTAACCTTAAAATTAGGGGTTGATATCCCCATTTTAAATTTACACTTTATACTCCTATAATTAATTAATTAATTCACTTTATATCATTTTCTTTTATAATTTTCATTTTACACCTTTATCAAATTAACATCAATTAAAACATGTTTAAAAAATATATTTTTATTTTAACAAGTTACATCATTATAATCGTTTCGTTAATACATTCGAAATAAGCCCAATATTGAATAGTTTTTGACTTAATTATATTATTATATATTATAAAAAAATATTTTTAATATTTACACTTAATACTTTTATAGTTATTTATTTAATTTATAGTACATAATTTATTTTTTCAATTTTCATTTTACACCATTATCATATTGAAAAACATAATTTTATATTAACTAAAATTAGATCTAACAAGGAAATTAACCTCTCAGGAAGCATTTTCATACCCTTATTCATCTTGTTCATCTTACATACTTATTTTTTAATATGTTTTTTATTTTAACAAATTACACCATTATAATCGTCTCATCAATCTCTTCGGAATAAACCCACTAATGAATATTATTTGATTTAATTATATTATTATAATCATATTTTCAATACTTTTGAAATGAACACGTACAATATTGAATATTTTTGGATTTAATTATATTATTATCTATCATATATAGTACGGAAAAATATTTTTAATACTTACACCATGCACCCTTGTAGTTAACTATTTAAATGGTACGTCCTTTGCTTTTTTATTTTTTCGTTTTACACTCTTATCACTCTTATCACATTAACATACATAATTGTATATTAA